TAGCACTGCTTTTAAATTAATAGACCAATGTCAGTTCTGATGTTAGAAGAATGGAAAAACATTTCTTTCGATCTCTCTCTCTCTGTATTTCTATTGCTCTCTCACTCTCTTTCTCTCTCTCCACTTTATATATAGTGCCCATTACCTTGCTCATAAATTACATCCCAAACTGAATTACTCCTGCTTTTCGCTGTGCCAGGCAAGTTTGATGAATCCTGAGGCACAACACATCATCTCAACGAATCTGCTCCACACTGTCTTCCACCTCTTCAAACCACTTCAAATCATTTTCATTGCTGTGCTATTAAAATTTGTAATTCACACCTGCCATTTCACCTACAGATGGATGTGTGAAGCGGTGAACGGAAGTGTATGTGAAAACGCTGAAAACCCACAGGATGAAATTTATACGGAAGTCACATAAGTTTATGCTCGCATGTATGTCATGAGCAGTCTGACCTCTGGTCTGAGCTGTCAATCAAACAGACAGCAACAACAGTATTACTAGCAAGCTAGGAGCTTCTCTTCATCCTGCCTTTAGGGAAGTCACTGATGTTTCAGTTTTTTTTTGTTTTTTTTTGGCCATTTGCAATTTTCGGGTATACAAAGAGGGGGGAAATTTCGACAATAAAAATATAATATCCAATATATAACCAACGAAGAGGGGGGGGGCACTTTGATAAAAAACAATTAAAAAAACAATATCCAACAAATAGCCGACGAAACTGGCTGTACAAATTACGAGGTACGAATTTTTCGAAGAAATATAGTCTATAAATCACAATTAAAAAGAGCAACATTTGTTTCTGTTTTTAAACCATATCCGCCAACTCTGAAAAATAAAGGAAGGTGTTTACTGATGTTTAAATTAAAACTGTACCAACTAACTAACTGTATTTAAAATGTATCTATTGCTTCATAATTAACTGTATTTATTTGTGCGCAACATCACATTTCTCTCAGATTCCGTTCAAACGGCGTTGTTTAATCTGCAGTCGATTAACATATTTCGAGGTGGCATTCAAAATGTTGTCATCATGTCGGAAAAAAGTACTTGTGTGTGTTGATAATGAACTTTCTCCGTGGCAGGTATAGAGAACATGGAATCAGTGCAACATGACACCACTACACCCTTTGTAATTTGACAGCGGGTGCGTCTTATCAGATTGCACCGCGAGCACTGTCATTCTTGACTGCGGCTTCTCTGAGGCCCCGCTGCTCTTTTGACGTTCCGCTTGTCTCCGAGAATGTTTGAATGCGTGTTCGTGTGACAAGCAACATGTAATTATCCCTAATTGCGAAAGCATCAACTGGGGACACTTTACATGACCCAGTGTCGTTTAGAAGAAAAGGCATCACATCAAAATGTGCTATTGCAGTTTTTTAAGCTAGTATTACTGTCAATCATTGTGTATTTTACAGACCTCTTTTAAAAAATTAAAAAAGAAATACAATACAGTGCAATACATTATTATTATTATTATTATTATTATAATTATTGACGAGTGTTCTTTCCAAACCTCAGATTTTTTCATTTTAGAGACAGGAATCGAATGATTACACTTTTATTTCAATGTGTTCACTCCTTATAATGTGTAAAACTGGTTAATCGGGGGACAGAAATGTAAATAATAGTACAAAATAATCATTATACACATGGTGTATTTTATAGGACATATACAGAACCGTGTTGCTTTTGTGTTTTACACTCGTTTAATTGCTGCATAATAAGAAATATATTTTTTCACCAAATAAAGAGGTATAAATAGACAATTTTGTCAAACATAGTTAAATGTGTATTTTGTACGTTTTAGTGTGTAATAATGTGTCATCCTTTAGCAAGGAATTTTCGTTGTGCGCAAAAGTTAATATTCAATCTTATTGTAAAGATTGTATAATGGTAAAGCTGGTAAATTACTTCCAGGGTAATACAGTGGGGTAGGAAAAGCGATGGACCTCGGAACCGGCACTCGGAGCAACGAATTTTCTCTGAAAACGAGAGGCATCCCAACCAAAGTCTGCGCCGATGCGTGCGCCATGTTCGCAGCTTCCAGTTCCGCAGAGAGCTGACGTTTCCATTTGTTCCGCCGGTTCTGAAACCACGTTTTCACTTGTGTCTCCGTTAACTGCAGGCTGGAAGCGAGACAGGCTCTCTCGGAGCTGCTCAAATAGCGTTTCATATCGAACGTGGACTCGAGCTGATAAACCTGACTCCGAGAGAAGACGGTGCGCGTCTTCTTCTTGGCGGAGCTGCTCTGTTTGTCCGTGCCATCACGTTGTCTCTCTTCAGAAACTGGAGACATTTGGCTACACGCTCGCTCCTGCTCCTCTTTGTAATCCGGTAGTATGGATGGTGTCAAATGCGGCCGGCGGTCGATCCCATCCTGCACAGGTAGAAGTCCCTTTGTGGCACCTGCAACCAATGCAACACAAAAATTTCGTCTTATCAAATTGTGCCGTTAAAACACAACCCTCCAGTCCTTTTAATAATTATATAAAGCGTTTGTGCTTCAGTATATGCATAACTAATGTGTGAATTCAATAAATGGTTGCAAACACGTTTATTTTTAGTGTGGCACAAAAAGTGCTTTGAATATTCGTCCATCATCAAATTCACGCGGTGGGTTTTTTTCTATTAGGCTAAACATAGCCATTACTCGATACTTTACACAAGAGTTCATTAAATTTGAACTCTGACTGTTTGATCGACTGTTGAAAGGTTACAAGTGCCCTGTTAAATAAACAATACAATATGACTAGCACTGGTGCAAGATATTAATTAAATCGTGTTACATTTAACGCTCAATTGACGAAATGCAGCGTTGCCTCTGAAAGCCGGCATAATCAATTAGCAGACTCGGTTAAATTCGGTTAATTATTTGACCTTTCCCCTGTTCACCGAGGCGCGATAATATGTCGGATAAAAACACTACTGGAGTTTTTTCTAGTGGTGGCAATTGGGACAACATTACAATACAGTCGCAATTGGGACAACATAACAACAGTCACCGTAGTGACAAAAACAGTTCATGTTTTATATACTTACTGTTTCTTAAGTGAGACGATTCATAAAAGTGAATTTCTTACTAAACATCATGACATCAGAAATGTCTATATTGACCATGGCGGTAACGTTTGTCTCATAATAACAATACAAAGACACTGGGGGTATCGTCACTTACCGAGGCAGGAGAAGTTCAGAGGCTGGTGCGGGTTGCAGGACTCTGGTACACCGGGCTCAGAGCAATAGCAGTCGCCCGAGTCCTCTCCGGCGCTGCAGTCGTCCTCCGATGACACGGACAACGTCCGCTTCCTCGGCTGCGATTTGGGGCTGTCCTTTCCAGCCGACCGGACTCTCTCGTTGGAGGTGCCCAGAATGGACTGGATCGTGAAGCTTGAAATGGGGGCAGGCGAGCACTTGCTTCCGCTGTCCTCCGAATTATTCATTCTCGCCTCATAACAGTTCAAAAATGTTCTAAAAATGATACAATGCCAACGCAGTAATAAGTTCCGCTAAACATAGAGATGTTTTTCTTCCAATTTGAAAATGGTTCTTTAACGTTGTTGGGACATTAAAAAAACTTGTTTTTCGTGGGCTCAGAAGTGTTCGAATGCATTCCTCTCCACTTCCACACGCTCTGGTCTCAAGGCGGGTGGAACGTGCCCTCATTTGCATGTAGGTAAGACCGGCGCTAGCCAATCACGCGCTCAAAGCGCGCCCGGAAATTTCAAATTTTATAAAGGTTGAGTTCGTCGTCAGTGGCTTACGAGAAGTGCAGAGCGCTCGATGGAGATTAACTTGGTGCAAAACATTATACTACACTTTTTGTATAAAAAAATTTTAACGTGAAAAGAATGAAAAATGCAACAGTGCAAATATGTTCTTTGGCTTACTGTAAGTTACCTTATTATATATGGTAAGCAATATTATGTTTTATAGATAATATATAAGTTTATTGTAAAATATTATTTTTAAAAAAGCATAAATTTACACATTTATATTCTATTTAGCTACACAATACATTTACTCTAGATTATTCTTTTTAAAATGTAAGTAAAAAAGTATCACCTTTTCAGGGGGAATTTTTGGGGAAAGGGGCATTCTCTGAATTCCCTATGCGCGAACTGTCATATTTGTTTAGTTTTTATTTAATTTTTTAGTTTTTATGCTTGTTATCAGTTACGTACATTTAAGTGTTTTATTTTGCATTTTATGTTATTTAGTTTAATAGTTTAAGCTTATTTAGTTCATAGTTCATTGCATTTGGTTTAGTGGCATGGGTGTTTTATTGACCACATATGCTGAAAAAATTGACCCATTTTGAAAAAAAAAAGAAAAGAAATCATGTGGCCTTCCATTGTACCACATGTGCTATCAGTACATTTTGCTGTAATAAATGTAATACAAAGAGTCTATATATGTTGGTATATTAACATTATGTAATTAAAGGACATACAGGGTTAGAAAATGTAAAATATAATGACCAAAATGCCATCTCATACACAACTGCCGTTTATTCCACTGTAAATTTACCCCCAAATGCTTTAGAATGCACTTGTCACGGTCTAGCTGTAGGCTGGTCAACATTATTTTGTCCTTTTCCCTCACAACTTGACTACTTGACGGACGTTTGCCTGCAAAATATCACTGTAACGAGAAATTATAACCAACATTTTAATAGCTTTATGTGAACTACAGAATAGATAATCATTCATTGTCATATGTGCCTCTGGTTTTCCACTTTGATAAATTGATATTATTATTGCTTCTAATTTAAGTAATTTCCTGCTCCCTTATATCGACATAATATTTTTCTGTTTACAGGATAACGAGCTTATTTTTGATTTATTTGTTGATCTTAAAACTACGACTTGTATTGGATGCTCGTGTGAACAGGCCTCTGCAATTAAAACAAATGTAACAAGAACTTTAGTATAACGCTTGTTTGTCAAAAGAGTGTCACAATATTTGACCATGCAATTAAGAGCTTAACTGATCCAGAAGCATTTTTCAAACATATTTCATTGTAGACTGTGATCCTCACACAGAAACCCACTGCACAGACGACCATGCTGCTGATCCATCGAGGTGTCTTTGTTTATGACTAGTTAGGCATCTCAAGCACATGCATAGAGTTCTCAAGTTTATGCGTACAACAATAACCAACCTCCTAATCACAAGTCATCTGAATCCATGGTTTAGTTCAAAATCATATATCTTATTAAACAGTCGTTTTAAATTCCACTAGTCTTGTGCTATAAATGGCAAATTGGTCAAATAATCCAACACGCAGTCTAGGAACTAATAATGGATCCTATCTCATTTTTCTTGAAAATAATAAACTCATTCCACGTCCATTATCTCCGTTTAAGAATTAATTTGATCATTATGGTGGGCTAATCTACTGCCTCTGCGGGCCGGCTAGAGCGGGCAGGACCCTGTTTAATTGATTGACTAATTGATTGGGGGTGTGCGCTCGCCCTACCCCTGACTCGTGTCTCGAGGGCAGCTGTGGCTCTGCCACATTAGCTCTCGTTATCGTTTTCTAAAGGCTGGCGACACTTAACAAATGCTCTGGCTTTGTCGTGGTGACAGCGCGCGGACACCTAATGGACCAGAGGGAGCCAGGGTTGAGCGATCCCGACTACAAATTTCAAAGGTCGGCAGTAATGCCCTGCACACATGGGTCTCCCAACCACAGACTAACTGGGCCATACCAGTGAAAAACAGCTACATTTTGTTTTAAAAATTAATAGTAATTATATTTATTATTTTTGTGATGAAAATGTATATATCCAACAAAAATCTAATAAATAAAATCTAATATACATGAAAAAACTACAGTCAAGAACTTAGAGCCATAGCCATTAGAAGGGTGTTTGTTGAATTAACCACTGAATAACCTTATTTTGAAGAGTGTCTGTTTAAAGTGTACCTGTGGCTAGAACGAAAACATCAATGGGTGTTAGTTTGGTCTAGTAAGACCCTGGAAGTACGACACGTGCACTAGCCTGTACACGATGATGGAAACGATGTGGTTGAACTGTCACAATCTGCAACTCTGTTTGGAACGGTTGTTAAAGAGACCTATTGTGAGCGACCATATGCCCACATATAGCCATTTAGTGTGTAAAATATGAGGGTCTAGTTCACAGCGGCCCTACGATTTATGGCGCATTCACATAAGGCGTGAAATCCGCAATGATCGTTAAAGAGCCGGTTTTATACGCTGCGCCTGTCAGCCGAGGCTGGATGGCTTAAAGGCCGTTTAGACATATTAAACAAAAACAATAGGCTACACCAGAAATGCAGGCCCCTCACAGTATAGGCTATTATATATTCTACGTGTTTGGGGAGGAGGGAGTCGTATTGTCACAATTTTTTGTTGAAGGCTGTTTAAATTGGTACGAAAAGCGCATTTGTGTGTGTGTGTGTGTGTGTGTGTGTGTGTGCTATCAAGACACGTTTAATCCAAAAAAGTTGTATTTCTATTACTGCTTATGAGCAATTTTATCTATGTGTTTCACAAATACCTAGACAGGTGTACCATGATGAACACCCAGCGATTGTGGGACAATCTGTCACGCGCTCACAAAGCTAAACATCTTTCAAATCCGTTAGAACAGACGTTTTTGCACATGCTGTCTGTACATGCGCCAGACAGTAATAACCGAACATACACATCGAGCTCTGGCAAAAATGCTTTCCGCTAGAAAGACAGATGAAGTCATGGGCGCCTTTGATCTGAATATCAAGCTTCGATAAATATTAAACAAAGGGCCCTTTACACGTGTGTATTATGATATATGGCATGTCCAACTTTAAGATAAGGAAATTACCAGAGAAAATGATATCAATAAATTTTCTAAGTATAAACGCTGATTATGTTTCGATTTTCATTCAAGATTCTGAGGCTGGTCTTTTATTTTTTTTCTCAAATGGTTTTGCCCTCGGCGTTGTGGTGTCATTCCTCTCCGCAACTATATGTCAAATTAAAAACACAATTAAAATTTAAACTGTTTCAATCAGAGGCTGCCCCGCAACCTATGTTTCACTTAATAGAACTTTGATGAAAATCTGATGCTCGCTTTCAATCACAAAGGCAAATGGGAAAGGTGGGGCAAAAAAAGAAGATATCCTTTTCCATGAAAAACACCAAAACATTTCGAGAAAGTAATAAGCAAAGATAGGCCTAGGCCCGCTCCTTCTCAAGCGTTATACACGGGATTGAGTTCACGTTCTCGTTGTCTATTGTGGGTAAATGTGCTTTGCAGAGCGCTGAAATACATTTTCCCCTACACAGCGAAAGATAATTCAATAGGGCAGATGATAGTCCATTTTGTCAGTCTCATCCTGTGACGCAGAGAGCTGCTATCCTTTCCGCTCGAAAATGTGAGGTCGGCTAACTAAACATTGTGTTTTATCGAAATTGTTAAATCACCGTTCCGCCAGTTTTGAATAGCCAGGCTTTGATTAGCTGACAGCCCCGTCATATTCACAAAGAAAACACTATTGCGCAAATAGGAATAATCACAGCCAGAAAGAGATGATTTATGAACAAATTATGTGAGGGGATTGTTTAAATACCGGTTATATGCACTATTTGTTCAAACTTTTGTTCTTCTAGCTCTGTCTTCTATGTTAATGCGCAAAGTGTATTTTATCTGTTTACCCAACCTTCCTTCTTTGCATAAATAGTCAAATGGAAATTATCGAGTGATAGGCTAGTCTATTTTTTTTTTTTCGGTTTATGACAGTGGATCAAGGTCATCAGTAAGCCAATAGGAAAAAAGAACTGTTAACAATGCCCTTGATTTGAAACAATATTTTACAGACATTACCCGATCAATACTCGACAGGCGATAATGCTTCTGCGATCTATTAATTCACCGTAATGGGCTCGCGCTGAGCTTGCATTATATTATATGTCAATATAGGAGTTATGATTATTAGGCGGCGGTATTTGAATGTGCTCTTGGTTGAGTGCTCAGACCCAACGCAGAGTTTATTTCGACTTTACAGAGGAAGAGTGCAATTAGGAAGACCAGTGCTTGTCAATGAGCCTGACTGACCCATATTAAAGTTCTCTCGACACTGGTGCCTGTTTATAGCTATTTATGCGTGTAGTTTTAGTAATATAGACTAGGCCTATATTCAAATGCACGACGGAATTAGCCAACATGTCCTGTAGAACTTCTGTAATTGTTGTGACAAACTAGGCTATTCAACTTCATTTAATTAAAAAAAAATATTTTTCTTTAAATATTTCTGAAATAAGCCTCGAATCTTAAGCCTTCAATTTATAAGTTTGAGGTAGAATTTATTTTATTCGTTTTGAGCATTTTAGACGGATCGTTTTAAAGAAGAGTTTTCTATTTTTTTTTTTTTTGTTATTGTGGTTAATAATAATAATAATGTTGTTAGGTTGGTTGTTAGGTAGTAATAATAATAATAATAATAAGGTTGTTGTTTTTATTATTAATGTTGTTGTCTAACCTTTTCCACTCAAGTCTATATATATATATATATATAGACTTGAGTGGAAAAGTAGGCTTAAGGTTTGTAGCTACAGCTAAATGGGTCGTGCTTCAATATTTGCACGCATTTTACAGCACCAGCAGTAAACTCATCACTTACGGTTTTGACCACGCTTTTACACTTAAAATTCAACGCATAACAAATGAGCACGGTTTTTACTCTTCCTTCTCTCTCTCTCTCTCTCTCTCTCTCACACACACACACACACACACACACTCACAAAGAGCGGTGAAACTCTTAATGCAATTCCGCCAGCTCTCACCGATAATTATACGGTCTTATTGACAACGCGATTTTGCAAAACATCGCTTGTAGAGTCCGCCAGACCTAAAGGTGCACCTGCTTGTAATTGAAATGGTAATGGGTATTTCAGCTTGTTGAGGCGTAAGTGAAACAATTCCGGTTTTGCTGCACGGCTTAATTAGCTCATCGTATATATTTAATAAAATATTCTGCAACTCAAAAAAAAAAAAAAAAAAGTAAAAAAAAAAAACATTATTTTACTTTAATGTTTAGCAAAGCGCACTGAAAAAGTACATGATTTATTAATAAATAAACTAATTAGCCCACTTAATGATTTAATTATTAAATGATTTACATATTCATTTATTAACATCCCTTTAAGCATACGTTCGTTGTTTTGAAATACAGAATTACTTCCATATAATTTTAAAATAATTATATATACATTGAGCCGCCTCTAATTGGAACTAAAATTATTATATAGGCTAGGGGTTGTGCGATCTTATGTCAGTTTTGTCTCCCATATTAATTTCTTAATTTATATATAGCCTATATTATTTCCTGAAAATCATATTTTATCACTATTCATGTGAGTGCATTAGTCATGCAGCATGTCATACATGAACATAAAAATTGTGAGACATCAAAGAAGCCTTCTCGTTATTCGCCTCAGCAGTCATGCCACAAAGTCAGGTTAGTCACTCAAGACATGTAGACTTTAATAGTCTCCGTTTATTTCACAACAGAATTTAGCAATACAATGTAAAAAAAAAAAAAAAAAAAATTAGCTATTACTTTACAAATGACACATTTCCTCATTTTGGTTCGTTATATCTGTACATGTACATATACATCTGTAAATAATATAGATAAAAGTAAAAGTTTTAGTGTCTTCAGTTTAACTGTAGGTTAATTTCTGTCAGATTTAGCCTATGATTGTCCATTGAACGCGGGACCAAAATCGTTTTCAGCGGTTATCTTCTCAACCTAAGAACCTATTTTGCCTTAATATATAGATCATAGCCTACACAGTAGTATTGCACATCCGTGTTCAGGGCTGTGTGATTTTTTTTCTTTTTTCTTTGTGCTATAAAGAAATTCAACCATGTGTATAAAACCTTTTCTTTGACGTGTCAACAAGTTGATTTGAGATAGTCATAAACCGTAGCAGGTATAATAATAATAATAATAATAATAATAATGAAAGTAAATTAACGAAGTCATTGTAATTCACCACCAACCAACATCAACATTAGAAATGTAGGCCTCTAAACATTCGCCTTATTCGTGTGTAGTTTTATGGGTAGTTTTTATGAGTTATAAAAAAAAATGTAGGGCTCAAATGCATGATAGTGCGTCTTTGTACAATTTTTCTTTTCTTTTCTTTTCTTTCTTTTTTAATTATTTTTTAAACAAAAATAATTCGTCTCTTCGTTTCATTTCCCCCTGTTCTCTTTCCCTCTTCTCGAGTCTTTGTAAAATCGTTTTAGTTACATAGTTACATAGAAAAAGTCATCTCTAGTCCTCTCAAACCGGTCTGAGGAGGGGTACGGAGGTGACGATGGGATGCGAGTAGTAAACCGGATGAGGGAAAGTCAGCAGCGGCTGGCTTACGGGCACGTTTCCCGCTGTGTTGGAGCTCTCAGAAGACGAGTTCTCGTGATACAGGATGGGTACTCTCACAATCCTTTGCGCTGCTGCGTGGCTTAAGTTGGCGGCCTCTAGCTCTGCGGCCAGCTGACGTTTCCATTTGTTTCTGCGGTTTTGAAACCAGATTTTGACTTGGGTCTCTGTGAGGTGAAGCGAGGCAGCAAGGCCCGCGCGCTCTGAGCTGCTGAGGTAGCGTTTCATGTCGAATGTGGACTCCAGCTGGAACACCTGACTCCGCGAGAACACCGTGCGAGTTTTCTTTTTCCGGCAAGGTTTCTTGTCCGCGCCGTCGTCACCCTTCTTCCAGTCGTCCACGCCGCCTTCTTTTTTACCCTCTTCAGTGTCACTCTCCTCGAGGACAATCTCGTCACCACTTTTGTTGTCGTCTTCATCGTCTTTGGCATCCGGGTCTGATTTGAGCACGAGCTCAGGTGAATCTCGGTCAGTGCCTGTGATCGGTGAGGAGTCTCTCGCTTTTTGTGCTGCTACAGTAGGGAGATCAAATTAGCATTCGTTTTCTTTCAGAAACATATTCATATCAAGTTTCACAGGTCGCGTCACTTTGCCACATGACAGACAGGTGCAAACAAGTGTGGATCGTAGCCTACTGTCCAAATCTCAATGTTTTCAAATTTAAACATCGCATTGTAAAACTAAGATCATTTCAAAACATTCCACTTTCATATTTAAAGATCGAAAACAGCTTATGTAAATTGATACCTGTATGCTTAAATTATTTATAATATGTCCGGAAACATTTTCCAAACTATGGGCTGACTTGCTTCTCATTAACACTGCATACAAATGCAGCAACATTTGCTAGCAGAATCACGCTATTATTTATGATAAATCATAACAAATCAATGCACACTACACAAAAAGCTGTTCTGAGAAATCAAACCTTACCTTCTGTTCTGTGAAGATGCGCAGATGCACTGAGTGTGTACGGGTACCACCACGCCGAGGCACGCTCAAGATAAGCCGGTAACGCAAAGCGCTGGGTCGGCAACTCAAAGCGAGGAAAGTTTAATTCCCCAAACTGAGAGAGCGAGAAGCTGCCATCAAGTCCTGCTTTAGTTGATGCCAAAATAGGCTTAGGCTTTGGCGGCTTATTGTCAGAATTTAGAAGATTTTTAATGAAGAATGGAGAGTCTTTCACCGAAGCACATGTATCCTGGGTTGTTTCGGGCATGTTGGCTTGAAATTCGGGGTTATATTATTTTCTGAAAAAGGCTTAAAAAAATATGTTAACAATTTGAAGGTCCTTGGTAAACTCTTCCAGTAGTGGGAACTTAAACGCGGTTGTTTACGGTCGGCACTGACGTTAAAACGAAAGACAACAATGCGGAGCGAGATAAACAATATTAATCTTGCTGATCATCTTTCGAGAGTTCCTTGGTGAAAATGATGCTCACCGCGTCCGTCTGGCGCCAGATGCTAATGATGAAATAAAAATGTCACCAGAGTTAAATGCAGAAAGTATACGGCGATTGGGCACGTACAATAGCAAATGGGATGAAGGGAGAGATGGGAAGTGGAGAGTTTGGAGAGAGGAGGGGCCTGCCAGACTCTTCGCGTTGGCTGCTGGGCTGAGAGTTCTGTTATTGGTCTTATATAGTCCAATTAGGTGGCAAATGAGGACGAACCATTAACACAAAGGAACAAGGATTTAGCTCAAGCGGTGCGCCGATGAAGGCAATAGCGAAAAGTTTAGGACACGAGCATTGCAAAGTTACAGTTGACTTTTTTTTTTTATCAGTGTATCTCTGAAAAGTTGTTTACAGACTTTCTACATTTGGGCATAAAAACATTGATACACAGGCGTAAACTGCAGTTAGGGGCAGTGATATGAAATTGCACTAATAAATAAGAAGAAAAAGTGTCAATGTTGTAAGAAAATTTTATTTTATTTTTTTCTTATAGTATATAAGCAAATAAACTAAAGCATAAGTCCAACCCAAGTATGTTGAATATTGTAGTAGCAAATGATTTGTACAAGTAGCTATACTTAAACATGCATTTGTAGTAGCTATACTAAAATGTTACAGCATTTTAACATTGTATGAAACCCTTTCGTAAATAATACTGTAAACAATATAGAAAGCTATAATTATTTTTTTACAGGTAATTTTTAGGTAAAGAAGGTATTTAAAAAAAAAGTTGAAATCATTCTTTCATTAAAATCATCCATCCATCCTTCCATCCAATCCAGTCATTCATTCATTTTTCTAAGCATTAATGTTTTAAACTCAAATATTTAATAAGTTTTCATTGCAAACCAACGTTCGGTCCTTAGATTTGTTACTTTTTTAACTCTTTACCATCTATACGTGCAGAGTATTGGACTTCACGTTCGTTCGTTTTAAAGTTAAGTATTATTCTACAGTTTAACACAATTTCAAATAAAACAAACAAACTACAACATAAAACACAAAATCTCAGCAAAGAAAAATGAAACCAGTAGGTCATGAGGTCATACATTTGGTGCCACTAAATGTTGAGTTTGTTCGGGAGCAGCACATTGTCACTTTAAAAAACATCAGTGAACACATGGCCTGTCATCAAGCTGCCAACGTTGTCCATCTTTAATCAAAACCGTTTCTTGTTGTCGTCTCGTCTTATGAAAACGATCATTTCGACGCCATAATTATCAAGAGTGAATTTGATGCCACAAGTCACTGATAGAACGAGGCGAGAGCGTCCTCTACGGGTTATAAAGAATTACTGCATGCTTGCAAAACAGACTGTAAGCCAAGTCAGCAAACCAATAAAATCCATCTTGCTGCTGTAAAATTACTAAAACGAATTAAGCCCTTTGACAACATAGCTAGATCGACAGAGTAATTTAGTCTTGGACATAATAAAACGGTGATTATGATAACAATAGCATTGTTGTTGTTGTTGTTAATTATATTACTACTAATAATAATAGTAATAGCACATTTAAAGAGTAAATGCATGGGAGTTACAACTTAATCAGAACTGCTGTCACATCTGATTATGATATTATTGATTGCTGTTAAATTTAAGCTGGCACGTGATCCGAAGTTTGCTAGTTTAACTGTAAGAAGTGGTGACATGAAACAAAACAGACAATGGTTTTCTAAATACCAATGTTATTTTTAATGTAAATAGGATTAGTCTTATTGTGTCGAAATAATAAAATTAAATGATAGGATTGTTAAGACATTATCCAAAGACATTGAGTCGGTTAGCAGCCCAAACTAGCTTGTAAGAAGCTTAGTCAGAAAAAAAAATTACTATGCAACAGTTAAAACAGTCTTTTGATCACGTGTATACTTTCATTACATGTTTATCATCAAAATCAACGATTAAATAAATAGTTCCCTAGCGCCATCAGGTGTTAGGTTAAATAGTCAATGATGTTACAAAGATATGTGATTTCTACGCCAAGCTGCCATTATTTGTAAGATTGTTAATTATCTGAAATTACAAATGCTCATAATGCAAATATTTCTCAAAAATAAAAGAGAGATTTTTGATGGCAGCCCCATCATTAAAATACATATCGGCTACCAGTTTTTAACACAAGGTTTAATTCTAATACCTTGCATGAAAATAATACAGATTTATTACCAAAACAATAATGAGATTTAGATGGTGTAAGGCAGGACCAATTCATTCAGTGTAACTAAACAGCGAACGAATGTTTCATACAAAGAGTTTTATCCGTGAATGATGGACGTTACACAAAAACCTCTATTCAGTGTTCGCTGCATGCCTTAATTGGGGGCTTGTGCCATGTAGGCTGTGTAGATATTTCATATTAGTCTTCGTCTCGGCTCTTTGTGTCTCTGCCTGGTGGGAAGATATAATGTGCCCTGACTTTTAGATTATTTATTTCAGAGCGTGGAGTTATTGATTATTTCACCGGGAAAATTACAAATGGCAGAAAGGAATGACACGGTCAGCAGGTTCTATTAAAGAAATGATAGTATTGCTCATGGTTTGTTAAAAGGTCCAGTTTAGATACTTTATAGGTTTACATCCATCATCGTCTAACGACGCCGGGAGATGAGAAAAGCGCGTCGCGCGGTGACAATGACCCGACGCCGCTAACTTCGCACTGTAATTGCCCACGTTTTATAGGCCTATAGATTTTTGTTTTGATATCTTGTGAGTTTCTCTCGTCTGGTCGAAATTGTGATAAAAGACATTAATATAATATCGAAAAGCACCACACGCTGAAAAAAGGGCGAGGAGGTATTCCAAACCTTTGTGTAGCTTCAGTATACGCCTGTTGGATTTTACTGCATGCCAATGTGTTTGGTCACTATGACATCACTAAAAGGCATTAAATAATTACGGGGATTATAAATATTTTTAAAGGTCTATTTTGTAAATGGTTTTTAAATTTGGGGTGCACCAGATTTGTTTAGGAGATATAGATATATTTATTGATATAGATTTATTAGACGCAGACTGATCTGTGAATTCATATGACCATTATAAGGGAATTCATTAATGCCATATAATGTGTATACCCTGAATGCACCTAAAGTTGATTTTGATAACAGCATATATGCCAAATGCATGAATATTAATAAGCTAAAAATGTTTTCTAAGTAGCATTATTAGCACACTTAGTCTAAACCCTCACTTTAAAATATCTTGATCTGTTTAACCGACTTGTACAAAATGACCACTGCATGCTCTCTCCCAGTGCATTAATGTCCGGCACTATTGAAACGAGGCATTAAAAGCTTGAAGGTCAGGCTGCTCGTCTCACTGTAATACACACAATGGATTTAAACATGGCATTAAAGTTGTAAAGGACTGACTGTGGCCTGGCCCTGACCTGGCCCACCTTAATAGGGATGGTGAAGCTATTGATTGGCTGAGAGATAGTTAGAGGCTCTGAGTTACAGCGTGATTAACCAAGTATCAGCGAGCTGATTTTATATGCTCATTGGGCACAGAGAAAAGAGCAGAATTCAATGTCACTTTGAGGGTGAGAGGAAGCTCTTGCTAAGTGGGTCACAGGTCAGTTCACGTCCAAAAGCTGGATCACCACTGGACCATCAGGACCATGGTTGTCCATCTACGCTCATAGGATACTACCACAGAAAGTGGAAAGTGGAAATAATTAAGTAGAAATTTAATTCTAAAACCACTGAGAGCTATGATAGAAATAGTATTCAGTTTAAGTTTTGGTGAACTAGCACTTTAATGATTGATAAAGAATATAAAAGGCTCTTTAGTTACATGTAGGGTTAAATATATGGTCTATGTAATCATGCTTGTTGTGCTTATTGTGTAAGGTATCAGTATCAAGAATGTGGTATCTGACACCTTGTGAACCGTAAATGCTGCTTACAGGTACAGAGATGTTCAACAGGTTCCCCTGACCCTCAGTGTCCTACATTAATGCAATGATCTGTTTCTTCCTTGTGCCAACCAAGAGCTAAAAGACCCCATTCATTCTTTCTGACATGGCTGAATCTGTGGAATGGCTTTGCAGCACCTGTCCAGGTTCACACACACACACAGGTGATTCCTTCCATAGAATAGCCAGGTGTGAGCGTTCTTGGGCCAAGCGTTCTGACCGTGTGTCATTACAGTGCTGTAATCGGGTTGAGGCAGCAGTGGCTTCTCATCAGTGTCTGAAGGGAGATAGAGATATGGAGCCCGTTACAAATGGCCCAAATGCTCAGGCTCTGAAGAAGCCCATCAATAAAGCAATTTCTGGTGTCATAACAGCAGCGCTTTTGCTAAAGCTAACCTTTCAAAAAACTTTTCCGTCTGCAAAGCACTGCAGCCCCGCCATTAGAGTCCTGCCTTGTGAATTTAATGGATTCCGTACAAATAATATTCCACCATAATGGAAAAGGTTGAGGTGGCTGAAGACGGATGAAGTCATAAACACCTATAATTGAGAATCAAAGACCGATAAATTTTAAACTGCTATCCATTTTCCCCTTTTTTTCCAGATGATGATCTATGTCATTCTGGCTGCAGGAAAATGGAGGAGATTATGGGTGGAAATTATAACAATAAATTTTCTAAACATACACCTTGATTATGCTTCGATTTTTTTGGGGAGGTGAGCAGAGAGAGAGAGAGCGAGAGACTGTTGGCCTGGTTGGCTGAAAGCTTGCTGGCTAAATGGCACCATAAAATAGCTTCTGTGTGCTGTTTCGCCCGGAGAGGCCAGGCGTGCCTGGAGGTGTCATTTTCTTCCCCTAAATGGGGGGAAATGAATTGTGTAATTTATTGCAAACTGAAGCACAGTGAGATTAGATCAGCATATCCCATCAAAGGCTCAACAATCAATCTGCTCTGCTTTAACAGCTTGAGACGCATAAACCAGGGCACCTAATGGCTTTCCAATCTAACAGATTGATAGACTTATCTGCTCCCAGGGGATGTATTAAGAAAATCGGCTACTTTCACACTCTTCCCCACCACTTCTGACAGAACCCACTTTTTCTCTCC